GATTTGTTCTAATGGTGTTTGTAAATAGGATCTCAAGTTCGCATCTTGTACAGCAATTAACCACTAAGAAGAATATATGCAGTGTGTTATTTGTTGAATCTGTACTTCCAATTTGATTTGAAACTGTCTCATTGCTATCTGTTTATCAATAAAATTTTGGAAAAAAAAAAGATTTTCTTGTACAAGAAAGAGGTCCCAGGTCACTTTACCCAGAACTCAGTAATGCTTCACATAAGGATGCCATTAACTAAAATCATAAAATTCAAGCAAGAAAATTAAGAATTTGTTTAGACTGAGGTTTGATACCTCCCAAACTTGTATGAAAATAAATCTCAGGGTTATTAAGGGGTGAGTGAGACAAAGTCTCACTCTGGAATAAGGTTTTTTTTTTTTTGGTTCCTCGAATGCCTTCAGGGCACTTTTGGCCAGCGGGAGAGTTGTGAGGTTCGAACTCCAGCAACCTGAGGCTGACAGCATTGTGGAAGCAGCCACTTAAAGGACTGAGCTAGGGCCAGGCCCCCCAAAGTCTCACTCTGTACAGAAAGTTGGCTTAATGGTTTAAGTTGAACAGGTTTCTTCTCTTTCTCTCTTTTTTTTGCCAGAATTTTCATATATTTATACAATTCTAATGTTCATTGTGAATTGCCAACTGGGAGACTAAGCAATTTATTTATTTTTTTATTTATTCATGTATTTATTTTTGTGCAGGGTCTCACTACACAGCTCATACTCATAGTAATCCTCCTGTTTTCAAGACTTGCAGCCCTGGGATTACAGGCGTGTACCACCATGCTCAGAATCCGGGGCTGGCTCAGTGCACCCGGGGGTGGGGCCTGCATGGCACATGGTGCCAGGGATTGAATTAGTCCTTGTGGCAGGCGCTTAGTCTGCTGAGCTATCTCGCTGGCCCTCTGAGCAAGTTTAGAAATGCAAAATTTCCCAAGTTTGCTTGAGTATGGAGCTTATCTCCCCTTTCACTAGTGCCATACTTGGGAAAACCCCCTTAGGCCATGAAAACCCCAAATTAGAACTTACAGAAATGATATACTATATGTTGAGAGAACAAACAATACATTAGTCTCAGGTGATGGATAATCTTAATTCAGATGAAAGAATAACATTCCTTTTGTTTACTGGTGGGTGAAAAAATAATATCCTGGGAAGGTGATCCATTTAATATCAGACTTTATTTTGCTCAGAAGACTTGGTTCATAAAATTAAGTTTTAACTCAGAAGACTATAACAGATTATAAAACTATAGGAGAAATACAGTGGCTTGAAGAAAACGTTAGTTTGAGAGCCCCATCCCATTTGGTTCTACTTCTCACTGCCTTTCCCACTTGAGTTATGGGCCTCTAATAGGATTCCAGAGTTGTGTTGTAAACACCAGAAAGTTTGCTTTCCATAGAATGTGGGGACTTAAATGTTTGACCTTTGACCAGTAACTCTGAGGCTCATAAACAGTCTTAGCACTAAGGCAGTTTTATCAAAGGGGTATGACCTAGAAACTCTGGTGCACCTGGTGAGCTGAATTAATTGTAGGTTTTCGAAAGCCAAGAGTAAGTGGAAGTGAGTTGGAGCTTACAACAATAGAGAAAATATTGTCTGTGGAGAAGCCATTTGGCTACAAAGAAGTCAGAAGATGTCTATGTAGACAGGCAGGAAAGAACTAGAAATAGCTCTCTGTTCATAGTTTAAAACTACAGATACTGCTATCCCCAAAAAACATTACTGATCATCAGAAAACACAGTCCTATGCAGAGTGGCTGAACTGTGACTCATCACTTGGTCCAAAGCGAAATGAAATGAAAGTGGAAAAGTCAAGACTGGGAGGGAGTGTCCTGTCCTATGTAGGTCACCTCTTGACTCTCCCTGGGTCACTCTGTGAACTGTGGCCAGCACGGGATAAAGGTTTGTGTTTGAAAAGCAGTGATTTCCTACACCCCACTGTCATTCTTCTGAACAGGACACCATTACCGTGAGGCTATTGTATATTAATATATATCCATTTCCTTATACAAATGTCCAGGTACACTGCTCAGCTAAAGCATAAATTCAATCTATTCGAAATTTTTTCTCGCATAAAAGTTCTTTTCAGCCAATAAAGAAGAGGCTTAGAAATAAGGCCTCAAAAATATTGTAGGATTCATACAAAAGTGGGCTGACCCAGGGCAGGACCAAAACCAATAAAGAAAACAACACTCACAACAACACTCACCTGTCCACAATGATGCCATGAGGTATAAGCACATATTCCAGATCATTGTAATAATGCTGTGGGTATGTGAATAAATTCAAGTCATATCCTGGCCAATTGTCCATAATCTGTAAATAAGATTATTTTAGTTATGGGGCTTTTCATGAGAAATCGCTTCAAAATGTAAGCAGTACTATTCCTCTGCTATCATCTCTCCATCCTCATCCTGGTCCATGCCACCAGCCTCTCTCCCTGGTCTATTACAGAAGCTGCTAAACCTGATTCCCTCCCTCCATTTTCATACCTGGAGTGCTCCTTTTCACATACATGTTAGAGAAATGCAAATAAAAACCCCAAACTGGGATTCTCAGTCTAGAAAGAATTGCTACCATCAAAACAAATGCTGGTAAGGTAGTGGAGAAAAAAAGAACAATTTTACATTGTTCATGGGGTTGTAAACTTCTACGGAAATTCCTCAAAAATCTAAAAGTAGAAATTCCATGTGACACAGCTATACTTCTGGGTATCTTACTTGAAGAGTTAAAGACAGTATACACTTGCACAGCCATATTTATAGGAGCACAACTTACAATAACTAAATCTTGAAAGCAGCTTATATGTCCATCAACAGATGAAAGGATGAAGAACATGCGCTAACATAAACACAATGGAGCACTGCTCAAGCCGAAAGGGTACAATTGAGTCTTCTGTGGGAAATGGATGCGCTTGGAGATCATATGTTAAGTGAAATGAATCAGATACAGAAGGCTAATTATTCCTGGATGAAAAAAAGTGTGAATAAAAAGTAAAATAAAAGATAAGTGATGGGAAACAGGGAGCTAGACCTTTTGGGAAGGAGAGCTAGGGAGGATGATGGGAAGTGAAAGGATTAAGGTATGAGTTTTAAGTCTGCTAAATTGCCATGCTAGGTGTGCTCATTATGTGTCACAAACATACTAATAAAATACACATGTACGTCATGACGGCCGCTTCCTGCCCAAAACTTCACAGGCTTTCATTTCACTGGGAATCAAATCGAGAGTCCTAGTCATGGATCTGTCTTCGTGATAGGGACTGCCCAGCACTCTCTTCCTCCCACACTCACTTCAGTCCTTCTTCTCCTTGCTGGTCCTTGAATTTGCCCAGCATGTTCCTGACTCATGAGCATGCACTCCTACTCCCTTTACCTGCAATGCTCTTCCCTTAGTTGGCCATGTGGCTTGTCCTCTACTTCTCTCAAGTCTTCACTTAATATCACTCTAAAAAGAGCCCTTCTGTGATCACATATATAAAAGGCCTCCCTCCTTCCCCCATCTCTTCATTCCTCTTCATCCAACTTTCCTTTCCTTCATAGAATGTATTGTTATTGCAGGGAACTCTTCTCTGTCTTGTCTCCTCCCACTGAAGTGTCAGCTCATTCTGACAGACTTTATTTAATTCTTCATTGATTTCTGTACCCAAACCCACACACTACCTGACTTCCTGAACTCCAACCTCAATCTTCATTTTGTCTGTTTGTGATACATGGCACCACACCACTGTTCAGCGCTCTGAAGACTCATAGCTATGATATGTATTGGCAGACAGACAGCCCAAGAGTATATGTCATCTGCAAACTTAAAAAGCATCACATATGCTCTGCTTCTGCCAGTATAACAACTGGTCAGTGGGGCTACTGAATTGGCATGGAGCCTTTCTGGCTCCTACTGTGAGTATTCCCTGGGCCTGCTATGATCTGTAACCCACAGCAGCACCTGAAAAGCCGCCAGTGCCCAGGAGAGCCCTGGCTGGCATAGGTCTGTCCTGAAAACTCGGCCCCAGGAAATCACTCAAGCATTTCTAGCTGTCTTACTGGACCACACACACTACCCACTCTTCTTCCTGGAGTCTTTCCACTGGTGGTACCATTACTAATAGTCTTCTGAGTTCATTCCTCCCAACATGAAAATCCCTTGTTGCCCTCTGCTCTGATTAAATATCACAGATGTACTCTCTACTCCAAGTTTGCCTCTGAGTCTTACAACTGCTGTATTAGGAAAGTCTCTTACCCTTTCTGAGATCTAGCACCCACCCCTTTTTAAAGTAAGACACAAAACTATGAGGAGGAAAAGAGAATAGAAATATAGTACCTAGTATTAGTCATAAGTGTCTAATAAATGATGCAAAAAATGTCAGAACAAATGAACACATAAAAAATGTAATGACAATCTATCATCAGAGGCAGCCTGGAGTACATGGTCACTAACATAGACTTAAAAGGTCTGACACATTTGGAACAGGTTTGGTAGCTGTAGTACTGTGGCATATTAACTTTTCCAAGACTCAGTGTGTTCATCTATAAGATGAAGTCAATGCTTGCCTCTTTTGGCAATTGTGAGGCTTAAATAAGATATATAATATGGACCCCCACTTCCGTGCTGGCCCTGCCCCTGGGGCATGCTGAGACTGGGCATGGTGGCATGTGCCTGCAATCCCTGTGCTTGGCAGGCTGAAAACAGGAGGATCACTACGAGTCCAATCTGGGTAGTGAGACCCTGTACTAAAGTACATTTTTAAAAAAGACAGATAATAAATGTAAGACTCATATTCATATCCAGTCCATAAAGTACTTAAGCAATAAATGTTAACCATTTGGAAGAACTAGGACATCAATCATTTAATTACAAATTATGTCTTTATTTATTTAAAGAAGTACCTCAAAGCTACCTGGCAAAGCTATTTGCCAAAGTCTTATTACCCTAGTCAAAGCTATAACTTTAGAAGTGGAAGAAATGGTTTTCTCTAAACCTATTCTACAATCCCAAATGAGCATTCTTTCCAATTAATCTGAAATAGCATTCTCACTGTTAAGATGAAAGACAATTACTAGAGCTGAAGGAACTACTGGTTTTATGCTTTGTTATCTGTAATGGTGTATGTGAGTCATGTTGCAAATAAGTCTAAACCTGGAGGGGTGGAGGCTGTTCTGAGCCTTAGATAATTATGTTATTCACTTTTTTTTAAAAGCCCCAACAAAGCATCTTTAAATAGTTTCAGTATCACAGATAATATGCTCTAAGTTTATTCAGAACAATGCTTTCTCTGTTCAAAGGGGCAAAACATGGCCAAGCTGGGGAAGTGACAAACACATTAATGGAGGCATTTTATACAGCATCCAAATCCCAGAACTAATTCCATTCTCTTGTTCTCATTTGAAGATGTTATCGAAAACCTTCTTTCCAAGTTGTTAAAAATATTTTTTTGTTTTTGCTTAGACTATTTATTTCAGGTTCAAGTTTTGCCCCAGAGAGGAAAGTGCACATAAGCAGTTCCTCTCTGGCGCTGGCCACCTCTCAACTTCACACCCTGGGCCTGTTCTCCTTAGCAAGCCATTGCCACTGGCTCTTGGGCTCATGTCTAGCAAATAAAGCTCGTCTCTTACACCCGACACCTGGAATCCTGGTAGGAGCATCAGCTGACCCTGACCTAGACCCAGAGCCTGGGAGGACAGTGAACTGGGACAGATGGCCACCTTGGAGCCACATATTGAGGGCCATGGCTTCTGCAATCAGAAGAGTGAGGGCACCACAGAGGCAGCCTGGAGCACATGGTCACTACCGTAGTAGTGACAATTGTGAAGCCTTCCTCTTTCCCACATGCCTTCCTCTTCTGCAGTGGGTTTAGCACTCAGAAGTTAAATGCATCCCACTCTAGTAAAGCTGTTTAAGGTGCACAGGGACCTGATTACTCACCCTCCCACTGCTACTCTACCCCTATGGGAGTAGGACAGACAAGGCAGAGGGAGAGAGTCATTCAGATCCAAAACACAGCACCCATTTCAGAATTTCTCTTCCTCCTACCAAATTCTTTTGTGTAGGTAATAACATGGCACTTCTGGTAATGCTTTGGTAAAAATCAAACTAAACTGAGAAACAAAAATGTACAATAACCTAACCCCAAACACCCAGCTGGGCAAAGAATAGCTCCTCTCCCCCGAAGAAGGAACAAAGAGGCATCGAACAGGACTCTGGTGACCTTATCAGCTTCAGATCAAGTGACAATCAACTTCAAGCAGAATTCTGAACTCAAGGTCTCTAGATCTCTTATTTGGCAATTGGTATATGTTACTGCTTGTTGCTGGTAATCTATGAAGCACTACCTGCCTGATTTAATTAAAAGCCATTTGTGGGTGACAATCATCTTAAGAATCATAATATTCACTTCTTTTGCACAAATTACACTTCTCTCATCCAGCTAACATCATTTTTTTATTCTCCTTGCTATCTTTATCACCAAGTTTCGGAATTCAGAATATTCTTCTTACTGCATTTCTAGACAATCCTTTGGGTGATTCATTCCCATACCTACATTCAGCAGCAATTCCAGTCATTCCATCTTATAGCTCCTTCACTTGTCACCTCAAACTGCACGTTTGTTCTAGTTTAGCTACACAGTCCCTTACTTACACCTGTTCCCTAGAGAGGCCCTACCTATGGAATTATTTCCTGGAGTCACAGCTTAACTATAAGGATCTGAAAGATCATTCAAATTCTGCTTCTTCCATGTACTACTATGTGATCTGGATGATTTGCATATTCTCAGTGCCTTGGTTTTTTCCTTTTGTAAAATAGGAAACATAACAGGTCTACCTCACAGCTTTGTGACGATTAAATGAATAATATGGTGAAAGCACACAGGAAGTGCTCCATAAATGCTTGCTATTAATACTTTCCCATTTATTTCAGCAGTACTAAAACCTTTCTTTGTCCTTTTTGCACCCCCATCCTTGAGTTCTTCCAGTATGTGTACTCTCTGCAGCTTTCCTTTCCCTGCCTCCCTACAGACTACACGAGCTAGCTTCCCTCCAGCATCTCCCTGAATTCTCTCTGCACTGCTTCATCCCACCCGAGGCCAAGGTTTTATAGGAGAAAATAACATAAATGCAGAGACCATTTCCATCCCGCACTGGTTATTTCAGCGAGCCTTTCGCAGTTTAGCAATCATCCATCATCTCAAGCCCCTTAGGAGTGATGCAAACAATTTCTCCTCCCTCTCGCTGCCTCTGCATCTTTCACAAAATTGCCTTGTTTTCCAGAGCATCTCTGTTGACATTAACAGAGTGGACTGTTTACACTGGTCTCTCATTTGTTTTTAAACATTAATAACTGATGGTCTGGTAAGTAACCTAGATGTACCACATTCTATTACCCGTGTTCTATGGTGGTATTACCTTTTAAACCCTGGATGGTTACAATTCCTACCACTAATGGTTCTGTAATTGTTAAATATGATGTTCCCTTTCCATCACTGTCCTGCTTGCTCCTATGGACACTCTCAATGACCTCATGATACCCCCAGTCCATTCCACAGAACTCTGTTCTCAGGCATCAGCACCCTGCTTGCTCCCTCCCCTACCAGGCTTCCCCCCACATAGTCTGCCTCTGACATTTGGCCCTTTCCAGGCATCTGTCCTTAACAGATTTTTTTTTTTTTTTTTTCTGGATATCTTCATTTCCTTGCACTGCATATGAGTCTTTTTGCCCGTGTTTTCTAAGTCTATTCCAAAACTTTTCTGAACTCCAAATATTAGTTTCAAATCACCAATGGTGCATAGTGGCTAGTGAGCCCTATAGACTTAAGAGTTATACTCAACAGTTTCCCTTTTTACATTTTCACTCCCTTCCCATTTTCCCACTCCTAGTCCTGTCCATAAACCCGAAGGTGACTTTCTGAATGAACATGAATTAGCTGTGATGATTCTTTTGAGTTTGAGGTGGGGTCCTGTGCGTTGGCATCCTCACATGGCTTCCTCCTCTTTACCCACCCAATCTAGGCTTGAATGTCATGTCCTGACCATGTAAGCAAAAGCATCACTCCCAGCCTTCCTCCACGTATCTGGTTGCCCTATTTGCATGGCACACATCACTCTCCAAATTCATCTTTTTGATAGGTTATGGCCCTAGTATGAATTGCTGAATTATTATGGTGGTCGTCTAATATGGCTGAAGCCCTTAAAACAACAGCTTGTCTTCCCAATGACCACTTCCTCGTCCTTCCCCACTCCAGCCCTGGGTACAACTTCCTTTGACCTCTCCCGCCCACACAAGGGAGCCTCCAATCAGCTCCTTCCACGTCACTAAACCCGCCCCTCAAGCTCCGCCCCTGGCAAATGTCCATAGAGTCTCAGGCTCCAGGTCTCAGGTCAGAGGATCCGCCTACCTCCCTGCCCTTGGTCCTCTCCGTGTGTTTAGAGTTAATAAAGGCTTTCCCTCCCCCATTTCTGCTTCTCTGTTGCACTGCCGCCACCGTCATTGCTGTTACCTAAAACCTATCACTTTTTCACAGCCCTCACCTGTGTCCACCTAGAATGCAAGTTGCAGGAAGACAGGTCCTTTCCTTTGTCTTATTTCGCGCTGCATGGCCAGAACCTAAACCACTCAGAATCCAGCAGGACAGGCAACATGCCAAAGGAGTAGTTACAGGAACCCCTCCTCCTTTAAAAAGGATAGGTCCTGTTGTTAAATTAAGACCTGAGCAATACATTTCAACCTGAACAATTCTATTTGTGGTGTTTCCTTCCCTGCCAAGCTAATCCAGTCTATTCATTTTCATATACAGATCACCAGTGAATTACATGCTGAACCCTGAAAGGCGACTCTTAAATGACAAAAGAGCCCTACCCAACACGCTCCCACTTTTCACATTAAACCTGGCATAAGCATAACCCCTGCGGACTTTGAGAAATGGGAACCAGCTGGCCAATGCCTTGGGTAGTGCCAGGTAGGTCCAAGAGGCTCAGGCCAGTGCAGAGCCACCACCAGTCCGCCCAAACATCGAGCTCAGAGACTTAACGACCCCAGGTTCAAAGGCTTCAAAGCTCCAAGTCCTCCGAGCGCTTGCACTACTTTATTTCCAGCTGCCCGCGAAGGATCCTCAGTTGTCAGTTTTGAAAATAAAACTTGCGAGACATCAGGAGATAGCGCAAAGGACACAGCTCCAGAGAGGCCTGCGGGGTCCCCCAGCTCGCAGGCTCATACTCGGGGCTCCCGGTGGCCAGCAGGAGGGGGTGCAGCCCCGAACCTAAGAGCGGCTCCTCGCGGAGCAGAAGGGGCCGGGGAACACGCGGAGGGAACCTGCTGCGGCTTTGTCAGCGGAGGGCAGGGAGGAGAGGCCGGCTGCGCGATCCCGCCAGGAGGGAAGCCGGGAGCAGTGACCGGCTGCCCCGAAGGCATCCCAAGCATTTCGTCTAAAAGAAGGGTGGGGGTGGGGGGGAACCGCCGGGCAAGGCGGGGGAGGGGCGAGCGGGAGCGCAGGCTCAGCCCGGGTCGCGAGCTTGCATTTACCACGAGGCCACGCGCGGGGTCCGGCGCCCGCTCAGCGCTCCGGGCCATGCTCCTGGGCAGGCGGGCGGGCGGGGCTGTTCCGGGCGCAGCTGCGGATCGGCGCAGTTCCCCCTGCACAGTGCCCGCGCTGCCCCTGTTGGTCTGTGCCCGCGGGGATCCGGCTTCCCGGAGAGGCGCCCCGCAGCCTCGGCCCTCTGGCAAGCAGTGTCTTGGCTCTGCCTTGCTGGTGTTTTCTGTGCCTGTTTATTCCAAGCAGGGCCGGGGAGAGCGGGGTACAGCGCCCTCTCCAGCGCAGTGGTGGACGAAGTGTGTCCGGGCGGTCTCGCACCCTCCAGCCGCCAGTCGGGAGTGGGAAGAGTTTCCTGGCTGCTTTTGTCTTCGACCGAGCGCGGTGCTGGGCCCTGGGCCCTGGGCCCTGCTTTGTGTCTACATCGGGCAGGGGACAGACGAAGCTTCCCAGAGCACTGTCTGAGTTAGCAGTTTCTCAAGGACAAAGGGCAGATTGCAATTGTTTCAGGTTCCCCTCTGATAGGAATCCTTGCTTTATGAATCTGTTGTTAAATCCAGCGCCCAATCCCAAGCTTCTCCCAAACCAGTGCTCAGTTCTTTGTCGTGTCCTTCCTCTGAAGTCATGCTTTCGATTTATGGCTATTCATTCGTCATCTCTGATGCCTCGCCAGGGGCTCCACACAGTTGGCTTCAGGTTTGAACCCCTGAACTGAACACAGAACACAGTTCTTTGGACTCGGGCCTGCCCAAAAGACTGTGAAATCTTCAAATTCTGGCACAACGTGGGGAGTGAAATGCTTGTTTTGCCTGATTGGAGGTGAAAATAACTATCAGCCAGTTCATGTGGCCCTAGATTTGAAAAAATATTAGTCACTGAGAGATGGCAACCCAGTCATACACGAAAGCACTGGCTCTTGTCGCCTCTCCCAAATGCAGGTGCAGAGGAAGAGAGCCACCCAAGGGTCCCTAAGACTAGGCTGGGAGCCTGTTGCCCAAATGCACAGATCTTGACATTTCCTGGTGCAGTTTATCTTCATCATTGTGAGGGGGGTATTTGAAGCCATTTGTTTGTCTGAGTGTTTATTTGGTACTGAGGATTGACTCCAGGACTTTGAACTAAGCTTTATTCTAAGATACGTAACTAGGATAACTCAGCCTTGGTTATTTATTTAGTTTTTGAGACAGTCTCACTAAATTGCCCAGCCAGGTTTTGAAATTGCTTGTTGTCTTGCCTCAGCGTCCCCAAGTGCTAGGATTACAGGAGTTCGTCGGCCTCTCTTTTCAAAGCCCAGGTCTTATATTTATAACTAACTTCACTGAAAATTCCTGGAACAGTGAAGTGTTATCATTACAGGAATGATAAAACTAAAGCATTTACAAGCCTCTTTCTGGAAGCTGGCGAATGCCCCTTCACCTGCCATGCCCCCTGCTGACAGGTTGGGGTACAAATCCTGCACAGCTGAGAGAAGCCTTGATGGGGGTGACTTGCAAGTCATACTCTCAGATATAACACTGCTTCCATAACCACCTCAGCCGGAAGAAGCTCAGTGAAGGAATATGGGCTAGACTGAGGAGTGAGGGACTTCAAAATATCCCACAGGGCTGTGAGCGTAGCTCTTTGGAACAGCAGAGGCTTAGCCTGTGCAAGGGCCTGGGTTCAATCCCAGTCACATATACACATGCATACTCGTCACAGAAGTAGTTACTACTCTACCTGAGAGTCAAAAAATGACAAGTGGTCTCAGCCCAAATACTACCTAAAATGTAAGGGAAATATGGATAAATCTTTCCCCCTCATGGGAAGTTCACTATTTTAAACATCGAACCCAAGTTCACATGAAAAAATGTAATTTGCTTGAAAGTTGTATACAGGATTCTAAGAGTATTCTGTATAGTTCTTTGTAGGTCATCCTCTAAAGACCACAGAATGATGAATAATGTTTAAAAAGCAAAATCATTTTATTATTTTTGTATAATATTTTGTATTGTCATTATATTTCATACTTTGGACAGCATTTGTGTAATGTAATAGTACTCCATATTGCAAATAACATTTGCAAATACCAGTATGGAAGAATAGCAGTGCTTCTGCCCAGGCTTTATTCTTAGCCTTACGTTATGAGGAGGAATTAGAGGCAAAACATTAATTTTAAATATCAAATTTCTGCTATATATCATGTGGAATAGCTTCGGACTAAAATTCTAATTTTTCTAGTAACTGTCTATATGACTTCAGCCAGTGAGCCTAAGCCAGTTACATTGATGTAATGTGCTTCAATTTTCTGTAAAAGGATACATCTCTTCTCTGCTACATATGATATTACATGATGTAATGAAAGAGAATTTTAGTATTAACATGAGATGCTATGAAAATGTATGACCAAATGTATGGAGAATTATTGTATTGAAAACATTAAGGAATTTGGTCAGGGATAATTAGTGTTGGGACTACCTGGAATTGGGAATAAATATGAGAACACAGAAAATGAGAAAATTAATAAAATAATGGGATTTTCTATAAATGATATTTTAACTCAGACTGTCCATTTTCTAGTAATTCTTTGAAGGAGCCATAAGAATAAAGATGTGCAAAGTTAGTAATTAGTAAATATATTGCATTTTTCTGACAGTTTCTTTATCATCTTTTAGCTGTAGGTTCTCTGCTTCTTTAATTCTGCAACTATTTTTTTGCTGCTGCCATGGTGAAAACACAAACATTTATAATTAACTGAATTCTCCATCAGGCTTTAGACTTTTGTCCTGGAAGCACACTCCACTAATCTTCGACACTGTGGTAAATCTTTGGCTTTTGCCAATATGAGTCTGTTATTGAAGAAGCAGTTCAACATGTCTACCTACCCACTGCTGGCCACGTGCTCAGCGACATTGGCTTGGAAATACACGGGGCACTTAATGCATCCTGTGTCTTGAAACAGGAAAATACATTTTAAAAAAAATGTAGCCTGGGAATTGTGTTGAAATACATAAACATGTGAAACTTAATGACTCAGATTTTTGTTAGTCACAGAGTCACTGGTTAGAATCTGGAAGAAATCCTCTGTGGACAAAGGCCAGTAATAATGATGATGACATTTTGCTTTTCCATAGTGCTGAACAAAACACTTCGCAAATGTTACAAGTACAGAAGAAAAAACAGTGAGAAATATTCTCCCCAAAAGTCAGTCTAAATGAATATCTTACTATCTTTTTTTTTTTTTTTATGAGCAGAATACATCTATTGAGAGAAAGAAAGCTCCTGTCCAAGAGAGGGACAGGAGGGGGGGGGGCCCGAGTGGGTAGTTCCGCCATCTTACTATCTTTGAGGCAAATTTCCCCCTATATAAATGTAGTAAAAAAGAAATATAGTTGCCACAAGTTCTAACAAAAAACAACTTGACCAGCAGCCTCATTAGTATTCTATCAGCATACTAACCCATCTTTCCCGGCCTGTTGTTTGAAGCAGACTGGACTCAATGTGTGGTCTTAGAGTAAAGAAAATAATGAATGGTTCCCTAGTAGTTTTTTACAAACAGAGCCAGGAGCTCTGCTCAGAATTAGGTTTTGTATTATTATAATTTCTACCCAGTTGAAGCCTGTGCTCTTGCAATAATGTCAAAAATGAGCAATATCATCAACAGTAAGTGCTGGGTTGTTTCAGAGATATCTTCCCTCTCTCTCCCCATCTGACCGGAACAGGAATGGGAAAGCTTCAGAGAAAAAGAATAATGTGTCCATGTGTTCCTCCAGATCTCAGAGTCCTGGCAGCTGACCTCAACTCTCTTGGCCACCATAAAGCAGTCACTGAAAGGACACAGCTGCAGGAACTCAGGACTAAACACTAAATAAATCCGCAGAGCTGGAGGCAGAAGTTACATACATGACCTTAATACAGTGCTCTGTGGTTGTGAACGAACAGATTAGCATCTAATGGTTCTGGGGCGGCCTATGGAGGACTTCTTGACCCCTCAGCCGGTGCTGAGTTTCTAATGGGGGAGATGTTCACCTCCAAACCACACAGAAATAAAAGGAGCCTCCTTAAGTTTGGCTGGCATCCTAGGAAGACTAACAACTTGCTAGAATGAGAATGAGCAGTTTATTCTCATACATATTGCTTCAGATTTGAGTTTATGTGTGATACCTGTGGGTCCAGCTAGTGCCAAGTCCTGGGTGGCAAGGTAGGACATTAGAAAGAGGCTGGGAGATGCGGCTTGAGGATGGCAGGGCCTGAGATACCAGAAGAGGTGATGCTGGACACTGATCTTATTAGACACCACCACCCAGTGTATGTGTGCTGAAAGCCATCGCCAGTGTTCAGTAAGGTCACTGCAGAATGAGATGCTTCCTAAGCTTTGTTGACCATGGAAACCTGCTTAAGGGTGTTTTATAGACATTTGCATTTTTTCATTATTATAAAATATTTATATATAGGGTTTTAATATAATATCCAAGTAGGAGGCTTTATATGGTTTTAAAGATAGACTAATAGGAATAAGTATTTTCAATATGAAGTTTTCCCAGAAGCTGTACATTGGTATCATTTCTTTCTTTTTTTAAAAATTTTTTTATTTATTTGTGTGTGTGTGTGTGGCCAGCTCAGCCCACCAGGGGGTGCGGCTGGCTGGCATGTGGTGCTGGGGGATTGAAC